CACCTCTGCATACTGTTCCACATTGAAACCTTGCTTGCGTGGAGCCTCGGAGAAACCGAACCCGGGTAAGCTGAGAGCGACGATGTGAAAGCTGGGGTGCTCAGGTGACGCCGCCGTCAACAGGGGCAACACCTTGCGGACTTCGAGAAAGCTTCCAGGCCCTGCAAGCATCAATTCCAGCGTGTTGGTGTCAATAGTTGGAACGCAGCACGTGTAAATTGAATTCGACTTACATCCATGAACGAACAACAGCGGAATCGCGTCCACAACCTCGCTCTTCTTATGCACATAGTGTATGTTCAGCGTCCCAAAGTCCTTAACGTCGATGTCTCTCGTGAACATCGGCAGCTCCCCGTTGAGGGCCCTCTCGTGTACGCGCCAGTCGTATCCATCTTTCCACCGCGCGACGAGCCTCTTGATGTCGGCGAGAGGGGCGCCATATTTCCAGCCTGCGTCATCGAGCTCGTCAGGGAAGGTCGTGAGGTCAAGCTTGGCGCGGAGGATGGCGAGCTTGTCGTCCGGGACTGTGATTGTGAAAGGGCTATCAGACATGGTGGGAGTAAATGTTCAGGATTGAAGGCGTCAGCCTGCTTCAGTCCGCGGGTGTAATACAACTTGAAGGTCGCGTAGTAAGCCAAGATGAGGTCACCCTTCATCCGGCTCCCGGATATCCCAATCAAGCGCAAGCCGGCAGGTCCTGCGTTCGTCCACCACATGTCCCCGGTATTTACTCTTGCCATCACCAGCTTCGAAAGTACGAAGAAAATTGTGAACGGGTTCAAAAAACGAATGGGCCAATACGTTTGGGTGGAGCCATCTGAAATTTACGGCTACTTACTGGGTCGACACGGTTCTGCATGGTTTTCGGTGCTTTAAGTCGAGTGGCCTGAGCCTCAACAAATTGCGACGCCGAGCGAGTTGAATTTCCGTCGTGGACACTGGATAGCTGCGAAATAGTGTCAGTCACCATTGATCGCCAAAGCGCTGACAGCGGGAACAGCCGAAGGGTCAGAGGTAGATCGTGGCGACCGCGCGTTCTTGAAAGAGCTCCCGTGCTCCTCCTCGCTGTCCTCTTATCAGACGGAATTGTCACAAGAGTTGGATACTGGCGTCTGGTCGGCACTCGACCCACTCCCACTCCGGAAAGTCTGTATCAAATTATCTTTTTAACTATCTGATATGAGCTGTGGGGCTTTGAAACTTTTGCAGATCTGCCGATCTCAAAGATTTCAGTTTCGATGAGCTTGAAAAAACGCTCGCATTCTCACGAAATCAGCAGTGCGCTGCAATGCATCGGCTTGCGGCGGCCGCTTGTCGCTGTCGTGCTATGTCACCAATTCAAATTCGACATTTCCCCAAACTGAGCTTGGGTTGCAGGAGGAGAGCTGTTGGCTGATCGGCAACTCTAAGTCACAAAAGGTGATAAAGTCGATGATAATTTGAATAAATTCCTGGACCGGATGCTTCGACGAGAACGCCACGAACCCACATCGCCCATTCCCCTTCATTGAAATTCTAGCTGCCTTGGCTTTCGCTGGACGAGACAGAGCCCTCTTTCGCCATGGACGTTCCGGTTGGCACAGTGAGCATTGATTTGTCGGATTCGTGGGATGGACTGTATTGGTGTTGGTCTTTTTCCTTGGTCGGTCGAAGCTGTACTCGTGCTAACTTGCGCGAGACTCTACAGCATTTTTGGTAGCAACAGTGTATGTTCTAGTCGTGCCTGAGTAGTGGTTTCACAACATGGGAGCTTACGGGGATCTTTTGAACCAGACTATCCGGCATCACAATTGTGCAGGCCTGGATATACATCAACAACTGCGAGATGGATCCCTGGGGTCTCCGTATACTTGTGAGCACTCATATCGACCCTCTTATGCATACTACAGTTGTCCATTCATTACGGACCACAGGTAATTGGTTTGATGTGAGTACCAACATTGTATCACAGTGCGCCCGCTAAAAGTCCAAAAATGCAGATTGGGTGACCTCACGACGACCGGCCTTGACTTGCACGTCTTACATTTTTCCCTGGTGCGTACCACGTCATCCCACTGAAGCCGACGCTTTCTTGACGCTGAAAATGCTCAGGTCGAGAATTTTGGAAACCTTAAGCCTCTGGGGGATATAACGAAGTGCGTGGGCAGTGCGCTCGATGATTGTACACTCCCTGACTCTCCATCAGGACGGCTGCGTCGGAATTTTTGCTCACTATGGTCATAGTGTACATGTGCGCGTCAACCACACTTCCACGACCATTTTTTTTTATCAAACTACTCACAGAGTCCAGATATTCTTTGCAAGTCGCGTCTATCTATGTATGTTACTCGTTCCTGTTCACCATGGAGCGCCAAATTGATGCACGCAAACCAATAGTCACTAGGGATCAGCTGTGGCTGCCTGCAGGCATCGTGAGTGATAAGCAGCACTGGAGTTGTTAACGTCGTGTTGAAATCTCCCAAGATGATATTCGGCACTGGGGCATTTGGTGGGTCTACTCGACCTGCATGTGGGATTCCCTGCTGACCTACGGGACTAACATTTAGTTACCGGTACAAGTAAGTATGCCTCACCCTGTCACTTGTTGGCATGAGCTGACGATCTTTCTAAGTGGCCGCCGCCGATATGTTCAAGCATCCTGTGATGGCCTTTTTGACAACCCGGCAGAATGAGGTACGAGCACTTTATTTCTTAGCTTTGCTAAGGTTTCGAATGAAGAGCGCTGCATCAGATTTTATTCGGGATAAATGGCGGTTTTGCAGCCATCGCGGACATCGGAATCACCGTCTCCTTGACTTGGACACTGGCTAGCGCTAAAAGAGGGGTCAAACGGTGAGAATGTCCCCTGAACGAGTCCTGGAGTGTCCCAACACGTCCCGTAGTACGGATACTATGCTGCAGAAACTGCTTCTGTACATAGTTAGCCGCGGACTCCTCGTCAGCGTCACCCAAGTGCTGTTTCTGGTCGTCTTTCTCACTGGTCCGGGCTCGGTACATTGGTAAGTCTATCTGCGCTCATTCTTCTCCGCCCACCTAAGGGTGCACAGGGCGCCATTTCACTTTATGGCGAGCAAACTATACGTGATTACGATGGGTGCGTACTTCGAGTGTTTTTCCAGGTTCATGGCTCATCACCATCGTTCCAGTCGCTCTGTACGGCTCTTTCCACTCTCCCTCTGGGCAGTGATTCACATGTTACTGGCTGTACCAGGCTCAATGGGCGACATAACCTGCGGGATCAGCAAGGCGGCAATGTTTTTTCGACATCGTCACTATTCACCGACTCAAGAGCAGTGCGAGAACCACCTCCTACACATATATTAGTACACAAAACTGTAGAACTAACTCGATTTCGGGTATGCATACCTTCCTTCACCCGAACTCGGTGCTAATCGCCGGCTTTCAGGACGACTTGTCGAACAACTGTCAGACTCGTGCCAAGAGTAAGATTTACCTCTCGCCGTAAAATCGTATCTGATTCCGGGTCTTCAGGCGACCAACCTCGCAAGGACCATGACGTGCAATTTCCCGAGGATGATAAAATGCCCAGGGCAATCTAAAAGGCTCACCCTCCCCTTTACCCTGTTTCTCGAGGTTACCGTGCAAGGAAATACCTCCATATTCTCGGATTTAAATGCTACACACTGTAGAGTACTGGTTGTATTATTCAATTCCCACATGGCGACTACATTGTGGTCGTGTTTCTAGCTTTCGTTGCTTGAGGCAGTGAACGGTGTTGGACAGAGCCACTGAGTCGCAGCTGCGGAAATAACCGGAAGCACGCGATTGGCTGGGAGGGGTTATTCCGCCTCCCGCCCGTTCCCTGCTTTCAGTCCTCTCTATCCACGCTCATCCTCCAACACGCCTCCATCTCTGTTACTGTCCACAATTGCCAGTGACACAGACGATGTCTTCGTCAATCCTGCTCCGTTCAGCCTTTAAATCCGCTGCTGGCAGAAACGCATTGCGGTCCACTTTGCAAGGTTCGTCGTGAGGTCATTTCCCACTTACATTTCAACTAAAATATACACCTGCGCTGCAGTGCGACACGCAGCTAGCTCGAGCACACAATACGTTCCCGGTGGTCGTACGTATATCTCGCTCTCGCGCAAGTACTGTGCCTTAGCTTCACATCCACACAGCGATCTACAAGGGCACAGTGAACGATCCTACGACATTTCCTCCGCCTTCTAAAACACACGGCTCTTATCACTGGGCATTTGAGCGTCTCCTTTCGGCAGCCCTCGTTCCTCTCACTGGCGCCGCCTTTGCTACTTCCGGCTCTGCATACCCCATTCTCGATGGCATCCTAGGAGTCAGCTTGGTGATGCACAGTCATATCGGGGTAAGTAAATGTAGCTATTCTAAACCATTCCCTCTTCTACGTGAGCGAGGCCCCGTTCACTCTTTGCCGCTCTTTCCCTTGCGTGTGCCCTGAGGACATGCTCTTACCGTCCTCTCTTATGCAGTTCGACTCTATGATCGTGGATTATCTCCACCCACGCAAGTTCCCCGTCCTTGGGCCTCTCATGACCTGGACCCTGCGCACCGCTACTGTTGCCACTCTCGTCGGCGTTTATCAATTCAACACAAACGATATCGGTGCGTTCTCACCTTAATGCCTATTCCTCCATCCCCTTTTTCCTCCGCTACCACCTGGTCTCATTTCTCCCTATGTCAACGAGGACACTGTGTCCAGCCTATTTCCTCTATCTTTTCTCATTCTCTCCCCTCCAAATTACTGCGTCGTGCTCATAGATTCTTCCTGTACACCACTGCAGGTCTGACAGAACTTATCGCCAAAGTTTGGACGGCATAAAGACAGGGTGTTAGAACTATTTCCCATCTCGCCAATTCGTATCAGCGTTTGTAAAACGGTGAAGGAAGAGCAAGTACATACATAGTGATGCTTGTACTCTACCGGAGGGAGTGTAATTAGAGCCAACCGTGGCTGGATTATATTGCATGTTATGTGACGTTGCGGGAGATGGTAGTCATCAGCCCGCTTAGCTCAGTGGTAGAGCGCGTCACTTGTAACAGATCATCTGATCTGCTGAGATGATGAGGTCGGTTGTTCAATCCAGCCAGTGGGCACTGCGAGGTGCAAAGATCTTTTTGCTCGTCTTCTTCGTGGCCTTCTTGCTGTGTCCAGCTTTCCATGTCCCGTTATTATATGGAGAGAACTCCCTCTAATGCAACTGCGAGGTTTCCATTGCATTCTCATAGTGATGGGGAGCAAATATTCTCTCGGCCGGCTCTTTCTTTCATCCATCTTTGCTCCAATGGTCGGGATCCATCTCTAACAGTGAAGTATTCAAGAAGGACCCCCGCGTATCACCTTAGATGTGGTATCCACTAGGCGGACGGAAACCACCCTAAAAATGGCCCGATGTCCGATCCCTATGCTGACGGAAAGGCCGAAAATCTGGCAAATGTCCGATCCTGGGAGGCGGACGGGTGGGGTGCGTCGGTAGCAATGTCCGATCGGATCTTCGGACGGATGAGGCTTCGACGGCATGTGGGCTCATGTGGGTCGTTGATCTCACCTACCGCCGGCAAGCCCCCAGTCAACCACGCACATCGAGTGCACGTCGTCATATGCGGTGCGCTGTCGATCTTGATGTGATCTGTGCTAGAAAACAAACACAAACCAACACCCCAGACTCCAACGGAACACACAACAGAGATCGGTTGGGTAGTCTGGTTGTTCGTGGGATGGATACACTTGCTACCACCCAAAAGTCCAGTCAAGGGAGTAATAGGATGAGCGCTACTCTGTTAACCAAGAATGATCAACAAAAGCAGGTTGGAGAGCGACAATAGAATAACGTCAGTCAACAAGTGACCAACAGGCCGTAATGCGTAAAACCGTAGACGTGAATATACCG